TGTTAACAGACTAGACTCGTAAAACGTACATTATATTAACAACCTCATAAAGCGTTTTTAAAACCACGCATGTACTTTTATGCTCAGAATGGAGCACTTACGCTTGATATTTACTTGGCAAAATAAAAAAGCGCTGTGGGCAATTATAATACGATCCCTTATTTCCAATTAGATATGTAACAAAACGACATCTTTGTTTTTAATAAAGCTTTCGTAACACGACGAACATCATTGTCATCCTCTTATGGGGATTCTGTTAGACGATCCGTATTTTTCACTCTTTTTTAAATATGTGTTTTAAATTTTATTCTGCTAAATCATAGTATTACTTGATACGGAATCTTTCTTAAGAATTATAGTGGACGAATTTTAAAATCTTTATTTTGTCTACGTCGTCTGATGAAATAAGAGTCGACATAGTTACATATTGAGAGTGACGCTGTTAAACATTATGCCTGCGGAATTTACACACCCATCGTTGTGAACGCCGTCACATGAACAAAGCGGCATTGTTGATTCTACATTTGAATACGCTTCTTTTTCATTTTCTATTTTCCTCTGGTAACTAAATTGAATGTTTTATATTTGTTCTTTATGTATTTCTAAAACATTGATTTTATTTAAATTTTGTGTGTGCATTGGCTCGAAGGCTGTCTTCAAATCACAGGGACTTTGCCATAAAACATTATTACATATCTATGTAAGTTATGTTACCTGGTTCCGAAGCGGCCAAGCTCTTACATAACTTGACCTGACCCGCAAACGACCACTAGAAAAAAGTTACCGGCAGTTTTTAACATTTTGTTTCGAGATAAAATTAAAAACTATATTGTTACAATACGAGCATTGGACCGAGTGCAGTATAGTGATCTTTGTTAACATGTGAACAACTGAAAAAAATAAAACGGGCTTCTAGTAAGATTCGTTAAAAGAGGATTTTTATCATAACCTATAATCATAATTTAAGATGCTTTCGGGCAATATTAAACACATAAATCAATTTAGTAGCAACTATTAAAAATATTTTAAAGCTTCCATTGAAATAAGTTGTGATAAATTGAATTTTACGTTAAAAGTGAAATACTAACAAGATACAAAATAGATTATTCACTCTAGCGAAGTTGATGTTGAAACAGAATACAGCCAGTTTGAAACATTTACCAATATAGTAAAGCGCATTCAGCTTAAATCGGATTATCTAGTTTGAAATCTGCCCCGACATTGATAAGCATTGAATATTGATAAGCTGGTTCGCAACAGTTGTTATGTACAATTGTGATATATGATGGAAAATACAGATTTGTTTTTAAATACAGGAGTAGAACAATAAATACTATTGAAGATTTTATGAAAATGAATATAATAAATAAATACAATAATTAGTACAAGTTCTAATAATTTAATTTAGTCCATGGAAAGTTCTCATATTATCTTGTTGCTGCTCAAGGCAAAAACGTATAAACCGCGTAGAATAAATATGAGCTTTGCGGTAATTTCACTAAGCGTATATAAAACGATCCGCATTTTCATCGCCGTACACGAGCACGAGAGATCGCGTCATTTTTCACGTTTGCGCATTTCTATTTTGTTAAAAGTACTCTCGTGTATAAAAACAAATAGGGTTAGCTACATTATGGTTTTATTACTAAATATTTTAACAAGCGATGCTAGATGTAAAATATATTAAATAAACTAATCAGCTTTATTCAATATCACATTTGTTCATTCATTGTCGTACTTGATCTTACTTGATACTTGATCGTACTTCAAATTATGTATTGCAAATAATTTCTACCAAAAAGTCTTACCGGCTGTCTCTGATCATTAATTATGAAGTTCAGTTTCATGACTAAAAAGTTGTCGTATTTTTTCTTTGAAGATGGAAGGTACAATTACTAAAGAATTAAACAACATCCTTTTGCAAAAATAATTGCGAGTAAAATTTAAATGTCTACTTTTGATAACCGTAGCTGTCACAGTAAAAATACCTTAATATTAAACGAAAAATACAGTCTCGTTGGATACTTAACTTTTTTAATGTGGTCGAAAAAAAATATCATAATATAATGCCTAAAATAACTGTTTTTACTTTGGTTGTGGTTTTGGTTCCAGAAAACTTTACTTTTTTAACGCATCAATATTTTCTCAGTAAAACCCAAACGTAACTACTACACTTTTACATTACCATGAGTTCATCGAACCTTAGGCTACTTGATCGCAATTCAGCTTGTATCAAATTTACAAAAGCATGTTCTATTCAGATTGGTAACGGGATCCATGCTTGTTAGAATTGGAAATACTATTCATTATTCCGTCCACTACTAGGGCAAAAGGAAACTATTTGTTTCTATTATACGTGCGATATACCACAATCTAGATATATGTACGAAGCGATTATTTTGTATGGAAAACAAAAAAAAAATAGAAAAATAGAGTCTTCTGTCTTAATGTATGAAGACAACATTAAAAACACAATTATCTAAGATGTACCATACGACCATATGTCGGTCTACACATGTACGTGTTTATGAATAGCGTTACAGCTTCAGCTGTATTTTGATTGAACGCACATTTTAAGCTACAATCAGTAGGTCATAAAAACAAGGAATTGTTGAAAAACTAACGTAACAACCATGTTATCTACTAAGGAACCAGTTAGATTTACGATTCGAAATTTTAATAAGTAAAACAATCCTACTTAGGTGTTTAGAGCGGGCGCACACTTGTGACTAAACCATAGCACAACTGTTGTGCGATTGTCGATTGTTTCGCAGTCAACTCAACTGCTTAGTTGCACAACTAAAAATCGCGGAGTGAGCTCACCTCCATATATGCTGAAAAGAATCTAAACGCGACTGAACAGTTTTGTGATATTTTAATTAAAGGTGTGCGCGCGCTCTTAATATCAAGCTTAGTTGAAACGAAACTTACAAACAATATTTAGTTCCAAGCATATGTACCTGCGCAAGATTACACTGTTAACTTCATTAAAAATGTATATGCTTTTATTTAAAATTATTTGTATTATACTTGCAGCTTCGCTCTATTTTGTTATTTTGTAATACAATATACATATTACAATTATTTAATTCAAATACGGTACTTTGATAAAAACTATGGTACCCAATAATCGGTTTAATTAATATGTTCATTAAATATGTATAATTTAAGCAAATAACAGTGCAATTAAACCAAGATTGGTTTCATAGTTATTCATCTTAGATCGATCAAATGCAATTTCGATTTCCTTTGGCGTTATTTTTTTAATGGAATGCAATCAAAATGATTGTGTAACTGCAGTGACGCAAATGTTCTACAATATTTTCCTTGATTGAGAAACAATCTTTATACGTCCTGGACTGTGTCCGCGTTAAGAAATAATTATGCAGCCTTTGTTCCTTTATATTGTCATCAAACTCTTAGTACTGCTATATATAAACTCGCCTGTTATTACCACCCGAGATTATTTTAAACGAAGGATAGAAATGTGCTAAAATGACATATAGAAAATTTAATTTATATATATCTTTTATTTTTATAACAAGCCTGGGAAAAGGTCCAGGCTTCTGACTGACTGGTAGACTGAGGGTGCTAATATGTGTACGGTATTTGAGTTTGCATCTCCGTGTTTCAGGTAAAATCAGTCGGACGTGTGGATAAATACGATCGGATCGGAAATACCTAAATTGCTGCACGACTCAACTATTCGATCTCTCCAATTTAAATATAATTCGGAGTTTACATTTTCGTTGCATACTAAACTGATACATTTTAGTCAAACGAGTGAACACACTAATGTTTAATATGACTATTTTTTACTCTATTGCGTACTAAATGTACAAGGTACAGTAGAATAGGGTGAGCAATGAACGAATAATAGCATAAAATATTGCTGCTTAGAATTGTATTCGTTAATTGAGTGTTTTTATTTTTAAGATTTTATTGTTATAACTGGGATTATAAATATTGAGGATACTTTTTTCGAGCCAGTCACCTAAACAATGTATTTAACGTCATCGCTAAACAAAAAGCCAAAAATGTTTGGAACTGACAATAAGTTTCGATGTCGCGTGCTTGTCACGTATTTATTCCTATATATTTTATCGTTTGTATTATAAGAGATATTGCCAATCAAATGTTACTTTGTCTAGGTTTTTTTTTTTATAAAAATCGTAGAATTCGTTGGACAAAAATTTGTAAATAGTTTTACTTATAATCAGATCGATAAAACGACGTAAGTCGCCAGCTTCTGCATTGGACTAAAATAGCTAATTTGGTGAGAGAGGTGATTTTTGCTGCTTACAGCTATAGTAAATCATATTTTAAAAACATTTTCACATAAAAATGAGTCTTTATAAAGCATGGCAAGTGTATGAAAGAAAACGTAATTTTCGATGTTAAAACTTAAACAAAAAGTTAGATCAGGGCCTTTGTAAGAAATTTATAAAATGAAAATCCATATTTCATATGGTTTATCACAATTTTAGATGTTTATTATTAAAATCTTTTATCAAAAATATAAATTATCATAATTATTATTTATTATAAAAATGACAGAATTCGCCATTTCTTAACTCAAGATTTAATTTTTTGAACAATAACAGTTATTCACAATTTTACATAATAAATTATTTTTAAAAAACCCCGTTTTCGTAAATAGCAAGAGCCTAGTTTATATGACAAATTACAAAGCAATTGTTACAAATGCTCATAAAATTTTGTTAAATAATTGTGATTTGTTTTATTAGAGCATTGTTATTTTAAATGTATAATATGTATGTAGATTAAAGTCAATGTAAAACTGATTTTTATAGAACATTAAACAATTTTTCGATGTTTTATTGATATATTTTACATTTGATATAAGACGATTCCATCTTGTTATAATTATTATTTAAAAAAAAAACTGGATAAAAGGTTAAAACGACAGTGATTTTAATATAAATAATCGAATTTATGAATGAAAAACACAAAAAAGTTGGTACAAATGTAGAACTTACCTTGTTGACTGCAACATCTTGTTGGCTGATGCAGTGATTAGTGATGCTGATGATTTTCTTTAACTGATTCTATTTGGCAATTCGTGTTTTACATACATTTTAAACTAAACTCTCCTATTATTATCTTAAACATTCATTTCTAAAATTTATACACATATGAAACTTAAAAAGTAGTTGTCTGAAGTTTGTATTTTTAGTTCGAACATTTAAAAAAACGTGTTATCACAAAAATCTCTCTTGACAAAACTATATTAGCAACATACAATTTTAACAGAGGATTACGTAATGAAAACTTAAACAAATATTACAATGTTGAAATAAACCACTGGTTATTTATTACAACAAATTAAAAAATGGCAAGCAATCAAACGCGAATATTAGTTTTGTTTCATTATTATAAAGTTTATACCTAATTTGAAAAAAATTCACATATCACTGAATGCATTATGTACCAATCGCCCAATTGATTTAAAGTAAATTATTCGTTCAAAATATATCTGTAACGAAGAATTAACAAGTTTAACAAATAGTCTTCACTGCATCTGCATATGGTGACGGTATGCGCCATATTTCCGGAAGGTTTTAAAGGTATTGCCAGATATATTAATATTCATTACACATAAAATAAATTATGATTTTGCCTAAATTCGACGTAGAAATTAAAATTCATAAATGAAACTCTTTATTTTTTTGAACTCGCTTACATGTAGTGCATTTGTTATATATTATTTATAACAAAAATAGAAACTTGTTTTCACATAACTATATAAAAAGTACTTTCTCTACATAAAAAAGTGACGATGGTTTTAAAACAAAAAAGGAAAAGGATAATGATGGGCAAATTATAAAAGCAATATAGCAATCAACATACGTCACCAAACGTCATTAAAAATGAAGTCTGAAAAGAATGACACTGACATTGACAATTTCAACATTTTTGTTTAATATTTGTTTCAAAAACATTTTTTTATATATTCTGAGGTACTGTTGTACTATTGTACTATACGGTATTATACTGTTATTATTAGTAGATTTGTTCTTTCTGACGTATTCCATGCCAACACTTACTATAGTTATTATATACGTTACCTAAGTAGAAATTGCCTATGAATGTTACATGAATTCAGAGTACTGACTATTTTACTTGTTACTTCTTACTAATGTTATAAATGCGAAAGTTAAGATGGATGGATGGATTTTTGTTAGAGTTTGTAACCTAGACCACTGAATGAATTTAGATGAAATTTGGCATAAATGTAGATGTTAGTCTTGAAGAACACAAAGGCTACTTGCTTTTGTGTTTTTAAATTTCACAAGGACAGGGTCGCGGGCAAAAGCTAGTTCAGAATTAAGTTACAATCATAGTCATAGTTAAGATGGTGTTGAAGTTACAGAAGAAGATTCAGGACATAATCACAAAAATATGAATTTATCCCTTTTTGTTTACTGTGTTACTGAGTTATAGAGCTTACTTTAAGTTTACAGATTGCAATGGGGTCTTAAATCGAAAATTTGAAGTTTTGAAGCTAGAAATATGAACAACATTGCAATGCTGTCTTCAGTTCAGACAAAATTGTCTCCACAATTTCCTTCATTTTGCCCCGCTCATAGATAATCTCAAAATGTTAATGGACACTGGCATGGTGACAGGCAAAGACCATGTGGTTAGTGCCTGAGTTTTTCAATCAATTTTGCACATTATACTTAGACTTATTATTTAGAAGTAAAATGTCTATAATTCAATATTAAAAGCCAGAATGAAAGGACCATGTTCTAATTTATTATACCTCATGAAGGAGCAGGCTTGATGTGTCAAGGGCTAATAAAATCAGTGAGAGTATTGATATAAATAAAACATACTTTCTCAGAATAATTATTATAATAAATTTATTTATGCTAAAACATTGTACAATACTGGATATAATACATTGTAATTACATAAATTGGAAAACACATTGGACTGAATATACACAAATTTACAAAGTAATCTATACTAATATTATGAAGATTTATAATAAATAAATAGGAGAATATTAATTATGAGTGTGGAAGGGTACATTGGTAGAGGTAGACCTAGAAAGAGATGGATGGATTGCGTAAAAGGTGACATGATCAAAAAGGGAATGATGACTGAGATGACGTATGATAGAGTTATGTGGCGGACAAAGACCTGTTGCGCCGACGCTACGGGAGTAGGATAAGGAGAAAGATAATGATGTTTTTACTGAAAAGCCGTTATAATATTGTTATACACTTGTAATTCTTCTATATAACAATATTTACTAGTTTTTACACTATGGCAAGTTAAATATATGTCAATGTGAAAAAAATGTGTTTTTTCAGACAATCCCCTATATCTAAGCCAATTTTATTGAGATCCGTTTAGCTGTATAGGCGACAAACTCTAAAAAAACTCCATCCATCCCTCCAAACTTTTGCATTTCTAATATTAGCAAGATTATTACAATTTTAGAAATGGAATTATACATATATTGAAATTTTTAAATTGTTTTCAATAAGCTTGAAAATTACAATAAATTAGACAGTGGAGTACTAAATGTAATTAATTTTGGCTTCCATTTTCAGAACATTGTACTTCTTAATTCTTTGTACCAGATCAGTTCATGTTCGATTTTAAGCGACTAGGAATTAAGAAATGATGGATATATGTATAATAGAAAATACATAGATATCCATAATTTCTTCCTCCCTAAAAGCTTGTCGACTTGCTGTTTTCATTTTCTGACAGATTATACTCTGGCATAAGGCACCACCTGTAAAGAAGTAGTTATAAAATATATATATTCTTTTCCTATCTATATTCACCCACAGCATCTGCATTCTAATTAAACATACTATGTATTTAAAAGTATTAATTAATGTCTTTTTAATCAAAAGTTGAGTGATTTCTTACCTTTGAGTTATAAGATGGGACCGAGCAACTTTAATCCATTACTTTGATGTCCAGCTTTAGGAATGAAGATAAGATAGATATTTGTACTATAATAAAATACATAAATCTGTCATTTCTCCCTTTCTAAAAGCTGTTCTAACATTTCTTCTATTTGTAAGTTGTTGATGGTCTGGTTGGATCTGCAAGTTATCAACAATTTGTATCATTTTATTTGACATTTGTTGCATATATGTTTTTTAAAAGTAACATTTCTATAACCAATGATTGTGTTACAATAGAAATTTTGATGCAGATTATAAAAATAGAGTAAAGCATCGAAGATCTTGTCACAAAGCGGAGATTTGCATACTCGCATTTGTTAACCACAATACCAATTCTGAAAGTAAAAAAAAAATTATTAGTACAGTAGTCGTTAGTGAAGGTGCCTAAAAATTAAAATCATATGTTTAAGGGTTTGGTGAGAAAAAAGGAAACAAAATATCAGCATCATTATTAGATTGTGCTGTCCTGTCTGAGGTCCCGCATTGAACTAAATTGTAGTAGTACATGGCCCTTCCTTTATGCAATACAAATTATTATCTCTTCATTGGACGCCATATTCAGCCTTCATTTCATCTTCACGAGGTCACCAGAGCACATGAAAGTAAAGAAACAAATATGAGAAAATATACTCAAATTGCACAGAAAATAGGCTAAATTTTAGTATTTTTAATTTAACTTACCATTTTTCTAGATAACAGCGTTATAAAAAATCGTACAAACTATAATCATCAAGTGTCTAGTGTCTTTCTCATCTCAATTTCAAATAATACATATATAAAGAGAAAATATTAAATAATTAAATTTTCAGACGCAAATAGCAAAAATCACAAACATACATGACAATACAAAAAAGGCACAGGCGCTCGTTATCGCCATAGGAAGCAATAGTTATAGATTGAAAATGTAGGAAAACACGATCGATATTTTCCTAGACTATAGGAAAATGTCAAAGAGTAACTGAGTTGCTTCTTTGACGCGACCGCATTAACTAAATAATCGCGGTTCGTGGTGTTTAGGAGAATTCAAACTAATATTAGATATAGCATTAAATGGTATTAACGACAATAGTCGCGATGTCGGATTAAAGTAGAATCTGTCATTTTCAAACAAAGAGTTAACCATTTATAGGATCAGTGCCCAGTGGTGCCACTGCCACTAAACAATGGCTCACTGGCACTTCCAAGCCCGCTCTAACAATTTCAAAAAAGTGCTACAATAAATTATCATCAATTTTAAAATAAAAGACAGCATTAGTTAGCACAACAGATTTTTGACATTGACAGGGTGGCGTTAGTGAGCTGTCATAATTTTACTTATTCCCACGGGATCAGATATTCTTGTCGGTCAATGCCTACATAATAACAGCTATGTAATGACAGATGAGACTATACTTTGGCAATGACATGGTAGTACATCCTTAACATTCCTTGAGTATATACTAGTATAGTTATTTATTTATGGCATATAATTTATAGAGACTTTATACTTGAGCCTATGCCTATTGTTTGGATGGGCATTAGGAGTTAGGACAGAAGTTCTGAAAACGAATGAGTTACTTTAAAACTCTTCACATTCTATGAACATAGAAGTGATGAGGATTTTTACATAGAATAGTATATCAAGTAACTAATGCATTATCATCATCATCATCACCACCCTTTATCTGCCTATTGTTGAACATACCCCAATATCTTCCACAGAGTGGGATCCTCAGTCTTCCGAATCCAACAAGTTCCCGACGTGCGCACTAAAACTTCGGTTTATTTGGATGGAGGACGTCCCACGCTCCAGGTCCCCTTCCGTGACCTTCATTTGAGAACATTAGAGGACATTCGAGGACTTTTATTACACGTGAACGAAAATACAATGTAGCTTTCAAGGCCATCTAGTGTTAGACAAGTGGATTACTCTGCTTTTACATTTTGTTTGTAGAGGGCAGCACTTTGCTACAGAAATAAAATAACGAAAATGTTATTTTTGTATAAACGTGGTGTACTGTTTTGTTTCAGTTTAAAGTAAATTAAAACTTCAATCAGAGTAATATACAATTATATGATGCAATGTGTACTTTTTGATAGGATGTTTACAAGTACTTACTTGCGCCAATGGTTAAAAAACCATAATGTGATCAAATATTTATGATTACAAAAAAGCTTTACTAACTTCTTGAAATTAACTTGTTAAACACGTTTATCTGTTCCGACAATTTCCTTAAAGAGTGGCACAGAGTTTTCGCTTCACGGATTAATATAATGATGGCTTACATTCGGTAAAGTACATTTGAGCGAAGTGTCTTATGTAATTTAATAATACGTTTAATTTCGAATTATTCTCTATAACTTAATGAATAATATGTTACTTACTATACTACTAACAGTAGACTATAGTAATCAAGTTAAGATTCCATCTTTCTCCCTTTCTATAATTTTCTCAAACCATGGTTGCCATAGAGGTTTTGTTGGAACATATAATAATGTATTTAAGACCATAATAAGAAAATAAATAAATCACGCACCGAAGGATAGTTTTGGTATAGCCGTAGGCTCATATATGTTAGTACAAATACAACCCTGTGTTTACACCAATCATTATGTCGTATATGTACATATTGCAAGACATAATAGTAAAATAAAATGTAAACTAATTATGCTAACTATATTCAATACAGAATTCTTCGCGAATGAATAACACAATTTAATTAGCTGGCCGCCCACAAAATTAATTACAAGGCTTCAATTTACTTTAAAAGCTTATCGTATCTTCGAGTTTTTAGATTAATCAAAGCTCAAGATTTATTATGTTTTATTAAGGTTAAGTGAAAGGTAAATTTATCAATTTCGCTGTTGTTTTCTTATCCTTTGTTACCTTGGGTATTAAACTGCGTATTTTAATTAGTATTTATAACAATTATAAAGGTATTATGTAGCAGAACACGGCTGGGGCGCGCACTAAATTATATAGTCAAGCGATGCCTTCGCTACAAATGCATCTGTATTCCGTTATTCAGTGTCAGTTCGAATTAATTGGAACCAACACACAATCAGCACAATGGTATAGAATTTCGCAAGGCCTTGATTGCATACGGATGTAGGACGTACACCGGCAAACAAGATTGTTCCGTTGAGAATTATATCTCATGTATCAGGAACAACAATGTCATCTTCATAATAATGCGAAAGTTTGGATGGATGGATGTATGTTTCTACGTATCTCAGATACAACTAAAGGGACCACTATGAAGTTTAACACAGCTGTAGAACAAATTAAAAAAACATACAGATGAATTGAGTACCTCCTTCTTTTGGGAAGTCGGTCAAAAAGGGGTTATATACTGATTTTTTTATGTAATAGCGCGCAGACGGAGTCACAAAGGCTATTAATAATGTAATTTGAATGATGTAACTATTGTAATCCGTCTTCCTGTGTTATGAACTGATGAATAAAGAGCAAATTATAGACTTTGTAGAAACTGTTGATACATAGGATAAATAACTAATTGAAATTAATTTTAAACTTTCACACATAAAAGTCGGAAGTAAACTTTGAACAAACGCTTATATTCATTAAACTGCCAGGAACTGCATTATGGAATTTACTTCAGGGGATGATGTGTTATCTAACCAGATTCCAATTTAACTTTGGCATGTGATGGTAACAGAAGGGGAGGACGGGGCAACTTTACGTACCTGCTGCAGTTTCATGAGAAACTTTTTTTTATCGAAAATTAATTAAACGATGTTTCATTGATTGTTTACTTTCTTCGTATAAAATTTATTCCATTGGTTGAACGACAGAATAAATTAAGAAAGTTTTAAAATATTACGAATCAATCGCTAATAAATATAATGGTCAAAAGCAAGGGATGCTTTCCTAGTAGTATTGTAGTCAATTTTGGAAATAACTAAGCAAAATTTATCTTTACCAATTTTAAGCTTGTTGTGGTAGGCTGGTGATGGCAATAATAAATCGCCTGACGGCTATGAACACGCTTAACTATAAGCGTATTGGCACTTATCTTAATGTCTTAATACGTGCAAAATATTAAAAGTAGCCAATTCGACAGTAGCCGCTGGTCTGTTTGGAATAAAACCACTACTTGTAGTATCTATTTAAACTTAAGATATAAATGGTCTACAAACATATTTGTATACTAACTTTCGCCCGCGAGTCAGTCCGCATGGAATTAAAAAAAAACAAAAGTAGATAATATATGTGTTCTATCAGACTATCTCTAACAAACATCCGTCAGTCTATCTAAACTTTCGTATTTACCATATAATAACTGTAATAGATTAGAGTAGAAAACCTTACACATCCTATCTACATTGCGTAATTTATCTTCAGAAAGATTTTCTACCAACTTTATCTTGGTCTATTTCGATCTTACAGTTAACTTTTTAAATTAGAGTACGCTTAACTACTTTAAAACTCCTCTAGCTCGGGAACTTAGTAATTTCTGATTGAGTTTCGTTTAAAGTTTGTCTTATAAATGCTTATGACTTGATAATTCTGTATCTCGTACAATTAAAATTATAAGTCAAATCGTTACGGTTTTTTATTTTAATTATTTCTCTAAGCTGAATATGAAATCTAAATTTAATATGATTTACTTAAATACTTTTAATTTCTTTGTCTTCTATCAATTAGGCCTGTGGTCGTCTAATGCAGAACAAAGGTTGTTTTAGTCTGCAGAATATTATATGAATGAACCGATTAATGATTTTGTATATGTAAATGTAGGTATCAAAACTTAAGTAATTACATTTTGTTCATTTTAATTTACCAGTAACATCGTATACCTTCTGCTAAATTGACTTTACCTTCACAAAAGGAACGTAAGTAACATTTTATTTAAAGTTAAAGAGATGTAGTGCAATGTTCTAATGCTTTAATGAAAACCATTTAGCTTCCGAGAGAATGAAGCCGACTTCGCATGCCTTGTTCTTTAGAAGTGTGAGACATCTAGATTTATCATTCTATGTCTTATTATTTACATTTTTATGTTTTACTACGGATTTTGACGAATGGAACATTAGTGTTAACGCATTTTGTCTCTGTTCTGTCAAAGGTGAGGGATGACAATATTGGTCGTATAAAATGTTTACCATTAAAAAGCTACGTTATTAGTGAGTAACATAGGCGGTATTTTTTTTTAATTTTTCAAATTCATGCGGACGAAGTCGGGAGCGACAGCTAGTGTTTTATAAGACCATTAATAATGTAACAACTATTTGTACTAAATGTAATTTCACAAATCACTAGACGTAAACGGCAGCTAATTAAGTCCTTTCGTTTAATTGCACACAGATCCTAGAGATATATTTCAGAATTAATTTAGTTGAATGAGCAAGTGTTAGCTCAATTATCGATTTGTCATAATATCTTACATGACTTTGTGCTTAAGATTTCACTAAGTAACTGAAAATTTGCTATTGAATTTAGCGTTTATAATAAACAGTTAAGTTTTTTTAAAAAAAAATATTGGTTGAATCAAGTAAATGGGCATTGTAATATTAACAATTCCGAGAAAATAAATTGTGAAAGCGTAAGCTTGTTATAGTTTATCTTTAAGTAGAATAACTTTAAGCTTTTAATTAAGGAATTCATTTTCCGTCAGTTCCTGCAACCTGCAATCCTCTTAACGAAATCCACGAGTCTAATTTAAATGCAGCTTTCATTGTAAATAAGGTCAGCTTTAATGAATGCAATCTACATTTTTAATTTACGTAATTTATATGTGAAACATTTTCATTGCTTCGGGATAAAATGAAAATCGTAATTCATCGATACTAAACAATATAAATAATAGGTGACGATTTCAAAAACATTACAAAAATTCAGACGTGTAAGATAAATATTAAAAAAAATTAATGATCGGTTTATATGCCAAATAAAGTTTAAATTTTCTGCTAAAACAAACTACCTTTCCATGTTACATCTTCTCAACAATACCTATACCCCTAATGG